TTTCCCATCTCTGGTTTGATCACCGACACGGCCAACCTGCCCCCCTCCGGCTGTAGTCTCGCGCCCGAGCTTACGAGGACGGTTGCGCCTAGTGAAGATGAGAGGTGGGGTCCGGGTGTCCCTAATGCCTTCCCTGTCGCAGGCCTGCCTGGGGAATCGCCGCTGGTGCGAGTGCTGGAGGACGAGTCCCGGAGCCGCCTGGGCCGCTTCAACCAGAAGGACGTCTCCATGGTCTTCAGCAGCGTGATGAGGCTCCACCCGTCCAGCCCCCACCCCCTGGTCGAGTCTTGCCTCAGCAGTTTGGAGCGGCACCTGGAGAAGGAGCGGCACCCCCAGACCCTCTTCCTGCTCCTCTCCTACTACCGGCTGCGGGCGCAGGCGCTGCAGGGACACCCGGCCTCCGACCAGCAGCTGATCAACAACCGCAAGATCCTGCGCCTCGTCAGGCACACGCTGGGGCAAGTGAGTGCCATGCGGGAGCACGAGCTGGCCCTCTTGGACGAGATGCTGGCTCTGTGCGCCCAGGAGGCAAACAACAAGGCCCTGGAGGCCATCTTCAGCTCTCAGCTCTTCTACGAGAACCGCCAAGAGCGATTCATCCGCAGTATGGCAGGTGAGGGCAGGGTCTGCCCAGGCAGGGTCCCAGCCTTGCCCACTGTGTGAGCCTCTTCCCCGGTGCGGGGTGCGCTGGGCTCTGTCCGTGCGCTTGGCAGCCTTGGAGCCTCCTTCCTTGGCCCCAGAGGACGCCTGGGTTTGTGACGGCACCAGCTGGGGCCTGGTTGAGCACCAGGGCCTGCAGCAGTGAGGCTGCAGCAGGAGATGCTCTGCGTTGTGGCCACTCTGTCACTGACTTCCCAGCTTAGCCCTTCCAGGGGCTGCGAGCCTACCTTACCTCAAGACTGGGAGCAGGTTGGTTTCGGTGGGGTTTCTACAGCAGGGCCCCCATTCTGCGCACGTTCCAGCTGCGCTTCAGCTGTGCCTCCTGGGTGCGTGGGACAGGAATCTGCCCCAGCCTCTCACAAGCCCCATAACTCGATGGTTTTTGGAAGCCGCCTGGGTTTCAGGAGAGATGGCTCTGCTGCCCAGGTCTTGTTGTCTCCCACCTGCCTGCACTGCCTTTCCTGCCCAGGCTGTAGTGGCTTCTGGAGAGCTGCCGTTCGGACAGAGCCAGGCCCCTCTGACGGATACCCCGCTGTGGTTTGCTCTGTGCAGAATGGCTCCCCAGGAAGGCAGAGAACCTTACCCCCTACACCATGGCCCTCATTGCCAAGTACGTGGCCCGGCACCGGCTGCGTGAGCCACGGCTGCTTGATACCATCGCAAACTTTCTCCTGAAGCGTGGGGAGCAGCTCGACAGCAAGGTGAGTGTCCTCCCCAGTCTGCGGGGAGCGCCTGGGGCTGGCTCGGGGGCTGCCCCGGTGCTGGGGGAAACCGCGTCCCTTCTCTGCCATCGGGCTGGGGGCCGACTGGGACGTGCCCTGGGCCTTACGGGTTGTGAGCGCCTGTTTCTGCCTGGCTCCAGGCAGGCCTGGGCCTGACCTGTCCTTCGTCCCGCTGCCTGGCCCGCCCCGACTCCCTCTCCTCCTGCCTGCAGGTGATCCAGAAGCTGGTGTTTCCCTTCAGCCGCATGAATTACCGCCCATCCAACCACAGCGAGCTCTTCCCCAAGCTGGAGGCCATCCTGGAGCAGAAAGCTGGCAGCTCACCCCTGGCGACTGTCAACATCCTCATGTCCATGTTTCAGCTTAGCCACTTCCCCCAGACTGTCCTGCACCAAGTCTTCTCTCCGGCCTTCATCACCAATGTTATGAGTATGTTGGGCCTTTTCCAGGGTAAACCCAGCCGTTAAAGCTCAGGGCTGGGGCGGAGGTGGATTTTGAAAGCATTGGGCCGAACAGACTCGCCCTGGGAGCGCAGGACCACCTTGCTGGCGGTCATTCCCCCCAGGAGCGTGGCTGGGCAAGGAGGGGCTCCCAGGCGGTGTCTAGCCAGCCGTCCTCTCCCCACAGGCAGCCCCTACGCGCTGATCGTGCGCCGCTACCTCTCGCTGCTGGACGCAGCGGTGGAGCTGGAGTTCCGCGATTACAGTGGCCCGCGCCTTGACCCGCGCTACCGCGTCCTCATGTTCGAGCACGCCCTGACGGCCGACGAGGCCAACAGAAAGTACAGGTCAGTGGTGGGGGCAGGCGGCGCGCTGGGGAGGGGAGGGCTGCCCCGGCGGGGGAGAGCACGGCTGGGAGCGCTGCGTGCTGGGCACCCTTGCAGGCAAGCAGCACGGGGTTGCTTGGGACACGGGGTCGGTGACCTTGTTCTGGGAGGATCCCAGCCGAGGACGGTGCCGGGGCAAAGGCCCGTATGTGAGCTCCAACGCCTGTAGAGGAGCAATATAGAATCGTAGAATCATTTAGGTTGGAAAAGACCCTTAAGATCCTCGAGTCCAACTGTTAACCTAACACTGCCAAGGCCACCACTAAGCCACGTCCCCAAGCACCACATCTCCCCGGCTTTTAAATCCCTCCAGGGATGGGGACTCAGCCCCTGCCCTGGGCAGCCTGGGCCAGGGCCTGACAGCCCTTTCGGGGAAGAAGAACATGCTGTTTGTGTAGCGATATCGGGAGGAGCTTTTCTGCTGAACAAGCTGAAGCGTGTCCCGTCCTTGACGCAGAACAGCAGAGCGCAAAGCTAAAGGCCTCCACGTCCCTGCGCAGATGCGCTCAGAGGGAGCACGTGGGTCAGCAGTGCTCGAGGGGGCAGGCTGGGGGTCCTCCCTGCTGCGTCCTCTGATGACTCTCTTTCCCCTCAGTTACAAGGGGCTGGTGGCCGAGGCCCTGCGGCAGCTGGTGGGAGAAGAGTGCTATCGGCAGGACGAGGTGCTGCCCCCAGGATACTGCACAGGTAGCCCGGCCGGGCACCCCGCTTTGGGGCAGGGCCGTGTCCCGGGGAGGGGGCCTGGCAGCTGGGCCTGGGGAGGCTCGGGGGGCAGCAGCAGCCCTGCAGCTGCCTGGGTGCTCGGGGGAGGCCCGAGGGTGGGAGGTTATTCGGGGCAGAACTAGACTTGGCTGCTTTGTCACCACCTTCCCTGTGACACTGCCTGCCCCCGGCGCTTCAGGACGAAGCTCCCTGAGCCACCCCTGCCGCAGGAGGGCTCAGCTGGGCCGGTGCAGCGGGGGGATCCCCCTCTGCGCTCCCGTCTGCTGGGCTGGCTGGCACAGCATCTCCCACCCTGGGCCACGTGGTGTCCCCGAGCCCATGTCCCATCAGTAGCGGGGTCTCGAGGCCTGGTGCTGATCTGTGTTCTCTCTCTGCAGACTTCCTGCTGTGGATTAACCGCTCGGGCACCGTGCTGCCTCTCTCCCGTGTCCCTGCGGCTTCCAAGGCTCCCTCTGCTCACACTACAACATCCCCTGCCGCCATTTCCTTGCGCTCGAGCGTCCTGGCCCTCACCTCGGACTTGCAGGACTTTGCTCCATTTGCTCCAGAGACACCAAGCAGCCCCCCGGGCTCCCGGGAGAGCAACCTGGCCGGGCGGTTCCTACCCACGCTTTGCCCCGCCCCGGGGGGCCCCTGCTACCAGCCCCCCTCGGACTATTACTGCGGCCTGAGCAAAGAGTCTTCCCTGGAGAGCCAGGGCAGCTCCACGTTAAGCAGCCCTTCCGAGTGCCTCTCCGCGCAGCCGGCTGGCACCCCCGACTGCTCGCCCAGGGGCACCTCCGCAGCCACCCTCTTCCAGTTCCCCATCGGCAAGATTCTGGAGGAGGAGGAGGAGGCTACGGCCGGTTGCCCTGGGCACGATCACAACTGCTTCCAGGGGGAGCAGGCCCAGGAGGAACCGGAGGAAAGGAGCCCACCCACCAGCGAGGACGCCTGCCCTCCGCCCTCTCCGTGCCGGCCCAGCCCCAAGCGAGGGCCAGGCGATGGGCCGCAGGGAGCTGAAGACATTCAGAGGTACCGAGCAGGGCCGGTCCATGTTCCCACTCCCTTCGGGCAGGACAGCCGCCCCGGGCCCCCGCCGGCACCGGCTTCAGCTCCTGCCCTCCCTGGCAGTCAGCCGCGGCCCCCTCCTGCCCTGCGCTGTCGGGTGCCCAGCAGCCGCGCAGGCTGTGCGGTGCGGACGGGTCTCCGCAGGGCCCCGGGTGCAGCACGCGCCACCCTGGGGGCGGCGGGC